ATGTTGGGCTGGGCCCTGCTTACCTTCCTCCTAGACCTTCAATACGCTCCCTCTCTTTGGGAAGTTCTGGTTTATGGTCCTGCGTGACTTCCACAGCTCTGATGAATGGGACTGAAGGGTCCTCCTGGACACCTAGAACCACCGCAGAGTCCCCAACATGGGCCACATACATGCGGTTTCCTCTGAGCACCACTACACTGGCTGTGGTACCTGATGTACTAGGAAGGCCTGTAAGTGTCTTTGGCCATTCAGCTGAAAATACAGAAGGCAGAAAATGAACACAAGCTTATTGTTTATAAAACATTACTGCACAGTGTTGTGAGGTACACCGAACAGACAGGTAGAACATACTGGCTTCTTACATATCAATGTGCACTGATCTGTTTTTGTTTACCACGCTAAAAGAGATGTATGTGACCTCAAGGTCGGTTTTTATTCGTCCAGGAGGTAGTTTTATAAGCAAAGTCACACATGCGCTGCACAAGCACTTTGTGTGTGTACATATAATCTGTGACCAGCTGGAAACAGCTGACAAGTCCGAACATATCCAACCAGACACCTGAACACACTGCCGTGGTCCAAGGCATACACAGACTAAATAGAATCGATGAGGCGTTAAAAAGGGTAATAACTACGTCTCTGTAACGACACACTAGATTGAGGCCAGTGAGACCATAACACTTTGTGGGTTTCCATTATACATTAGATTGTGAACATACTTCTGAACTGTTCGGTGTCTGCTGTGACGGGCTTTGTTTGGCGAATACCGGGCGGCTACAGCTAACTTCGTTAGCTCCGCTAATTCCAACATTTACTTATAACTTGATCTTAATTGAACAAACAAACAAACAAACAGAGCCTGGGCACAATGGCGAGGAATTTGCTGGGGTATCTGGCAATTACCTAGCTCTCTGGTCGAGATCTTTCTTTTTAAGGCTCTACTGAGCCCGTGGAACATTCTAGTAAATCCGGCTTTCATAGAGCTAGCAATGAGCTACGGTCGGTCAACACTCAGCTGGGTGTAGGCCAGATAATATAGTCTGATTTTGAGGTTTGGCGTTAAGTTCACGTTACTTAAACACAGAGAAGCACAAAGTAGTAACAGCTTTTACGTGTCACAACTTAATAGTTTTAGTAAACTTACGCAGTTTCTTCCACATAGCATGGTGGCATGCTACAAACCCTTTGCGTATGGCAGAGCAGACCTCCCGGTCACAGTCTGACCAGAATCCCCGCTGTTTCTTCATGAACTCCCAAAGATAGTCTCGCGCAAACTGCGCAGCCTCGCGACCCCCGTGACCATCAAAAACGGCGAAGAATGCTACGGAACGGCGGGAACAAGTCGGGGTGTTCGGCTGAACTTGCGGCGTGCTTAGATCTCCTGGTGACGGCGTTTCTACCGATATACCCTCGTCTTCTGTTTGTACGAGTTCACTGGATGCGTTTAAAACCTGCGGGGACTCCACGGTTTTATCGGCCCGGTCGGGATAAGTGTCCCCAGCCAGAGAATTGAACGTGTAGTCTCTCCGAATGTTCTCCTCTGGGTCACCCGTCGTCGGCTCATTTTCTCCCGGCTCAGGCTCTACTATGACCTCGGTCACATCTTCCATGTATTTCCTGCCTCCTTGATCGGTAAAAACACTCACTCGCATCAGTAATGCGTTTTCCATGGCTCCAAAGTTGAGGCCCGCTCCAATTTTATTTAATATTGTTAGTATATAGAATAGAAAGACAGTACAAATTATCGCAGAGCCGCGTCCTGCCTTTGTTTATGTGGAGTGTAGTAGGCATGCTCGAGCGTGTTGACGTCAGAATTTCCCTTCTTCTTGTACGTAGACGTGGCAAAGCAAGTGCAGCTGTCACCGGAGTGCTGTTGCCCTCTAGAGGTCTTGCTCCGAGCCAAACCGCGACTTAAGAGCAAAAATATTGACTTTAATGGGGTGGTCACGTCAATATAAGGTGGTCATCAAAAAGAAACCGCGTTTCCAATCTGCAAGCGTATGAAACCAAATGAAATCCTAATTCTGTCACTCTTGGTGGTACACATGCAATTTTCCAGTTGGTCACCGCAGGTCAGGTCTAGTCTGCAGGCAAGTCAGTGCTGGGGAACGCGAGGCTTTGTCAAAGCAGAGGTTTCCAAACAGACACACTTCTCTACAGTGACACCTACTCGACACTTTTGCTGTTGTCGCCGTGATCCTCAGCAACACAGACAGGTATTGCACATTTCTAAACAAAGTTAAATATTATACCAGACTGTCAGTAATTGTAATCAACTAGTATATTGATGCATGCTCAATCATCCAGATAAGAAAGTTCCAAAACGCTGATAATTTTCATCTGGAAGTAGCGTGGAAAAAACGTGTCGTCACTCATCCAACTGTCAGCTGACTGCAGGTTTCCCCAAATATTATAATCAGTAGTGATGTCTGAATAGTGGGCCGTGAGCTCAGTTTCATGATTATTAATGCAAATTGTTGTGAGTACCAGCACTTTGACTCTGTAGTGTTTGATTTCAAATCCAAATAGAATAAAATTTAAAGTCAAATGGCACGCAAATAAGCTTCACTCTGTCACATTTATAAGCACTAAATAAACCCTGTTTAGTCAATATCAGACCTGACAGTAATACTGGCCCTATAGCACGCTCTAAATGTGCAGCAACTATGTAAGTTACACAAATGGTAATTAACCTATATGTAAAAGCTACCCAAAATGACAAGGTCGCATATGTGGTGAGCTAATGCATTTCACAGTATCAGAACAGTAATGGAAAGCCATAAGAAAAAGGAAAAGAATCCAGCAAAACGTGACACAGAACATGAGAGATACATCTGGCCCATCAGATGATTCATTTGCTGTTACTAAAGCCTCATCAGAAATGATTTCAGGAGAAGAGTGGCCGTTTAGAAGCCATTCTTATAAAAGAGAAAGGTTTGTCTTGTCTTGACTTATAATCTTGGTAGAATTCTAAAAACTATGTTTTAAGATGTTTCAATAGATTGCTGCACCTCTTTAGCATTTTTCTAAAAACATATAAAGAAGTGAGAGGTGGCCCATGATTTTTGGACAGAGTAATATCCAAGAAAAAACAAAACTGGAGCTATATTTGTCTTCTTTCCAACCGACACCACTATAACAAAAAACAAGAAGCATTTTATTCTTTAGAGACATCCTACACCCTCTGAATGGCATTATTTTGGAGAAAGAGTCATACTGAAGCGGTGACAGTGAACCTGAACACTAGTGGTGTGCGGATCGATACTGAAATACCGATTCTTCCGATACCAGCAATTTATGTTCTAGAATCGATTCTCATATTATAATATCGATATTTTAGTACTCTGGGGTAAATTTGTAGTTTTTCCATTAAAATGAACGCAGTGGAAAGAAACTATACAATTCGGATCGTCTAATTTGGAAGGAACTACTTCCTCTTACGCCTTTCATAGTCATATGCGGAATACGGCTGTATAAATGTGTCGCAGCCCCTGGCGTGCACACTCACAACAATGGCTGAGCGCAAACAGAGTCCTGTGTGGACACGTTGTTGTGGCAACACTACTGACTTCGTCAAACACCTCGGAGTAAATCACATCACAGAATATGATAAGCTTATGTTGAGGCGAGCTGAAGAGGAGGACAGGGACAGGTGCTGCTAGGGCGAGACAGACGTCTCTCGCACAGTCCTTTAGTGCTGCAGGCAGGCAACATGCTCAAATAGCGCACAACGTCAGTTTTTTTTATTTCTATATGATTATTCTGCATTATTAAGCAATAAAAACAAGTTGTCTGATGTCCTCTAATCATTATGAAGCAATATGGTTATGTTATTATTACAATTACATAATACAATTATATATTGTATTATGAAATGCAATGAAACATTAAGTTTTTGTACAGAGTATCGGATCAGTATCGCCGATACCACCCTGAATTTTACTTGGTATCGGATCGGAAAGGAAATCAGTGGTATCGCACATCACTACTGAACACACCTCAAAGCTTTGTTGACCAAGCAGTGGTGTCTGTCACTACTGCTTGTCCTTCTTCTGCAGTCATCTGACCTCAGCCCAGTTGAATATATATGGGACACTTGGTTAAATTGTATTTACATAGCACCAAATCACAACAACAGTAGCCTCAAGGTGCTTTATATTGTAGGGTCAAGATCCTACAATAGTACAGAGAAAACCCCAACAATCATATGACCCCTTATGAGCAAGCATTTTGGTGACGGTGGGAAGGAAAAACTCCCTTAGAACAGGAAGAAACCTCACGAGGAACCAAGCTTGGGGAGGGGCGGCCATCTGCCGATGACAAGCAGCTGTGGAAGAGAGCCACAGATTAATAATAACAAACAACTGAGGAAACATCTGTGATATTACAAGATGCTTTTTAGGGCTTAGTCTCACCATACTCAGTTACCTTGTTCATATGCACCAGTGGGGTACATGTAAATGCTCCTTTCATTAAAGGTAAAATATTCTGCATATTTTATATAGGTTCAACATTTCACTCAAAAAGTTCTCTTAATTTCACAATAAACGAAATCTAGAATCACATTCACCTGTTGTAACAAAGTTTCGAACCTACCTCAGTGTAGTGCATTTTCATTTCCCCACAGTCAGTACTCCTTATTTCTATTTAGACACATTTTGTAACACATTTCGACATTTTTGGTGCAATGATTGGCTGTCGTTGGAGTTTTTCTAGCCACATTAAATATAAAGGAATTGTAATAAATTTAACACATTGTATACGAAATCAAAGCGCTGGTCAGGTACATTAACATTAAACAAGTAAAGGATTTTTGTCTTCTGTTGCCATTTGTTATGATATGTGTTTGTTATCTGCCAAATAAGGAGCGCGGCTTCTTCACGGAAAGACGAGTGGGTGGTTGGTACATTGCTTAAATGGGCAATCGTCGGTAAATTCATCTTTTTACTTTATGTGAAGTGTGACTTTTTACTTGGAGCCTGTTGGTTCAGCATCGACTGCACAATGACGTCATTGCGTCAGCGCCCGTGAGTGTGAGCGTCGGGACGGGGGCACGGAACTGCTGTAGGGTCGACGAGTAGTCGAAGATGAAAGAGAAGGATGGAAATGAAACAGCGGTTTTTTAAATCGAGACACTGACTTGTCTGCAACAATAATATTCGTAGTGTCAATACGGAGCGAATGTTGCATGAGGACTCGCAGAAGAAGGGCTTCAATAGTGGTAAGGTAGTGAATGTAAGGAGAGTTGAGGAGGGCTGTAGCTTCTGGGGCTTTTTTGGAGAGGGAAAACAACATGGCTGCGGTGGAGCTCGAATGGATCCCAGAAACGCTGTACAACACTGCTATCTCGGCTGTGGTGGACAACTACAGCCGGTCAAGAAGGGACATACGGTCCCTCCCAGAAAATATACAGTTCGACGTCTATTATAAGGTAGGATTTTAGCAGTAAGGAGACTCTCAATGATGTGACAGCTAACATCCTGTGCGAGCTTCTGTGGTCGGCTGCTAACACTGCTTGCTAACGTTAGCGAAATGTCGGTAACGTTAGACTAGCTATCGAAAATTCCTCCTTAGGAATCTGATTTGGCTAACGAACAAGTTATCCAGCCTCGACATTACAGAAAGCTAGTGTGACAGTGTGTGTGTTGAAGCGAATTATTAAACTGCATCGAGACTGTCGCTAATTACCCAAGTATCCATTTAAATGAACTGGTTCCGTGATGTGTGGTGTTTTTAGTGTTGTCATGTCCAGGTGTGACCCACTTTGGCTAAAGTGACGTTAGCCGTTCTCACGTATAAAGCTCCTCGCTTACAACATACGTGTGCTTTTACAAACAATCACCATCAGCTTTCCATAAAGACGGACAGCGATATTAAACCACTGTAACCTCGACAGCGATTCTTTCCTTCTGATACGTGTAGTTGGTTAAGTGTCACACCGAGGTCAGGCGTGACAGACAGAGCAAGGATTTTAAAAACATGAAGGTCGCGAATACAGCATGTTTCACAGTTACTCGATCTTCACCCACCAGATAATTCCAGATGCCCATAAAATGTACACTAGGATCTGATATTTGTTTAATCTACGGGTGCATCTTTAGATCCTTTATTGATGTATACCTGATGTGTAACTCTAATACTTGGACGAAAAAAACCTTTAGTCCACCCAGTCATGGTATGCTAACTATTTAGTAATAATAAAAGTAACACCATATGTTAAAACCAATTGCGTGAGAAGTGTAAAAATCCTTTGAGTGTTCTCTTTGGGGTTAATATTGTAGCCACAAATATGTGCAAATGTGTTTGGAGATTTTGTTTGTAGTTGCATGTCATTTGGATTGAGGTTGTAAATATAAAAAATGTAGTGTAACACCAATCTATCAAACTGAGAGGCCTGTCCAAAGAACTGATTGTGACTGCAATAACAACAACAACTTGTCATCATTTCCAGCTGTTGAAGAAAAGATTTCAGACTTCTCAGCCATTTCTCTCCCCAGCTGCATATTTACAGATTTATTTGCACATTAGTAAATCTAGGTACACTTAAGAATGCAATTATAGCCAAAAACCATTTGCAGATTCCTGTAAACATCACAGTAGGCCTGTAGACAACCGAAGAAAATCATAGTCAACTGAAAACAGTTTTCAGCCAATCGATTGGATGCAGCGCTCGAGGGAAATCTGCGCATCATTTTTAGATTAACTAAATAGGCCATAGTGCACTGAGTGTATTCAAGCCTCTCAGCTTTATTAGTTCAAGTAAACAAAGTGAACCTAGTTTGTTTTATAAGTATGGCAGACACCAGGTTAGTGTGCTGCTGTCCATATTCATATCTTTTCTGATATTGGAACAAAATCGTCAGTGTAAGACGTAGGGCTGGGCCATATTATACCGTTCACGGTAATACCGGTATAATGTTAGGCAACGATAGGAAAATGAAATATCGCGATAGAATGGGAGTAAAACGCGCATGCGCAGTGCCTTTGTTTTCATACGCACATGGCCGATTGTTGAGTGAAACTGATGAACCAGAATTGGTTTGTAAAAATGGTGCAACTTCAGTGATGTGGAACTGGTTTGGTGTTTGTCCGTCAGATACACACAAAGCACATTTTTTTGCAGAACATGCAAGCGGCCGTCGTTATTGTCGTATTTGTCGGACTAAGATGCTCTTAAATCTGGGAGTAATCTGGGTCCTAAACTCCGTATGCTTCAGGTCAAACAACACTGCAGCATCACTGAGAGTTAAAAACTGTCTAAATTCTTTCATCTTTAATAAAACGATCAGCATTGCTGCTTTACCAGGTGTAACTATAAAGTTTAACTTCCAGGCATCCATGAAAACAAAAGTTATTACATTTAACGGAGTTAGAAGTTAGCAGGAAGCTAGCGGAAGTTAGCTCGCTAGTTTCGCTAGTTACCTAAGCATGATATAGCATGTTCTGACGGAGAGATTTGAAAAAAATCAAACGTACAGCTCTGCTATCACTTCCAACATAAATGAAGACAGGAAACTAAACAGCAGTGACGTTTGTAGGGTTACTGAAGTTGGGCTAGCTGGTATATAATGATGTGCTACGTGATCGCTAGCGACACAGCTATGTTAGCATAACATAAACAGTGAAGCTGGGGGACGAACACTAACACTTTTCCACTTATAAAAGTTAACGTGAAGGTTCTTCATGGTTAGAGACAAATGCAATCGCATGGCAGGATGCTGTAAACGGACCAAACTTCAGTCAGGAGAACAACTGAGATAATCCATCCACAATACGAGGTTAGTCATTAATATACTGCAACAACATGGGAATAGAGCAGCTGCCAGAGAATTCAACATTAATGAATCAATGGTACAGAAGTGGAGGAAGCAAGAAGAATGAGTTTAATCAAGTTTGATTTATCTGACTGCTTTGTTTCGCTTAATGTGCCTTATAATCCCGTGCACCTTATGGTCCGAAAAATGCGTACTGCACACTGCAGTTTAATGTTGCAAAGCACCTCTTTTTAACTTCAGTGGATATTATACATGGTTATGCTCAGGATATGTCAGCCCATTTCTACTGGAAATGCCTTTTGGTTAAACTTTCAGCAAGGAATTTGCATTTGCACTGTTACATTTTTATAAAGCTTTAATGTACATAAAAACCAGCTTCTTGTTTAAGTGAAAATAAATGGAAGGTTGTCTTTTTGCGCTAGTAATGTTGTGGAGTTGTATTTTGTGTCGCATCAATTATATCGTCGGTTATATCGTTATCGCAAATTTTCAAATATATATCGTGATAAATTTTTTTGGCTATATCGCCCTGCTCTAGTAAGAAGTATTGTAGAAAAATAGTTACAGGCAAAAATGCCCTTATCTTGGATCGATCTTGATTTTCCTGAGAGATGAGGTTTCACATCCAGCTTGGCGTGGTTGCAGTTAATTTTACTGGCAGGTGTTAACCTGCAAACTGCACTGTGTCCCCCCCCCCAAAGAAAGAAAAGAATAGAGCTTCATTAAGACAGGGGGCCAATGGAGCTAAGAACTGGGGCAATTTGGTAACTTTGATTCATGTAGTCCTTCTGTTAATGTGCGCCTCTCTGTGTGTCTTAAGACACAGATGGAAAAATAATTAGTTTTACTCCACATGTCTTAAGGCTAAGTTGGGAAGAAATCGGGCATTGTGGGTTTCTGTGTGTTCTGATGATTTATAGAGCAGTCACTGGAAATTCAAAACACTGCCTACTGACCAATCAGTGTTTAGGAAAATGGTGTCTCTTCCAGGAAGATCCCTTTGGACAGTAAGAGGGTCTGAAGTTTTTTAGTAGTGTCAGTTTGTTTTTCCCTGATGAGCAGTAGTAAGGGGAAATATTCTTTATGAATAAATATTCATATTCTGTGTTCCTTGATTATTATTAGGTTTTATTTTCTCATTGGTTGCAGATAATTTTAACATTAAATTATTCTCTAAAAAAGGGCTCCTCTTTGTACTTGTTGACCTTATTATATTCAATTTGCAAGCAGTGGTTTGAATTCCATTTTATTTATTTATTCTGAGCTTTTTTTCTCGCACCAACAACACGACAACAGCTGGAAAACAAACTAAAACGGTGCTTTTGCAGTCTTGCTGACCAAAGTGCTTAAACGTTCAGATAAAGAAATGATATGCTGAGTGTGTTAAACTTACTTTGTGCTGCAGGTTCCAGATGGAGTCTTTCTTGAAAAACAAGGGTCAAGGTGACATAAAACCTTCATTAGACACTGTCAGTGGTTATGGTATAAAAGTTTATTATAAATTTTCTCTTGTCTAACAGTAAGAATTAAACCTTTAAGCTGTCAGTCAGCTCGTCTTCACACTTATGGAAAAGGGGAAGAGAGCATTTTCAATTGTGTTTGTATTGATTCATTAACATTTTAAAATACATGTTTATTGTCCTAGTGGGCACAAACCAAAGCCATTTCAGAAGCAACATTAAACACAGACGCTATCTGAAACGCTGCTGGGCAGTTACTTTAAAACCCATACAGACTTGAATGGGGAGAGAATTCTAAGTTTAGGATAGGATAGGCTTTTATTGTCATTGTACATGTACAACAAAGTTTTGGGTGGTCTGCACCATCTGTGCATTTCAGTGGTCACTGTGACAGAAACCCAGTAAAAAATCTTTGTTTTTCCCTGAAAGTTTTTCTTCTGCTACAAATGCACATAATTTTGTTACTTTCTTACGCTTTCGTTAACATTTTCTCCTTTTATATAATGACTCTGGTGCAAATCCAGCAAAAGCATGAATAAATATTTTCTGTAAATAAACCAAAATGGGTTTTTCCTTAGAGCTCAGATGCCCCAGTTCCCAGGAGAAACACACTGACATGAAGTCTGGGGCATGGACTCGATGTGCTCAGTGCCTCCTAACATGATTAGGAAAGCACAATAACACAAGTGCTGGTTTACCCATTTTGCTGATGTGTTTTTGATACGATATACTGGAGTTTTGCTCAGTGTGCTCAAAGTCTGCTTTGGACTAATTCATGTGAAAATGCTGCCACGAGTTTAAGTCATTACAATAAATTGAAGGTACAGCTGTAACAAAAGTGTCAGTTTTCATCAAACACAAGCTAGCATCTAAAAGCTGAGTGCTGTGGTACTGTTCTGTGTGCACTGTGGAGGTTCCTGTCAGTTTCAGCAGTTTGCTGAAACATAGCACATGGTGAATTCACCAGCACTGACACTGATTTTTACCAGCGTGCCAAATCATCCTGAGGGCAACATGAACATCTGTGGAGTTCATGCTAGAATTTTAAGCACCGTTCTAGACAATTGTCACTGTGTTTTTACACACACTATGAAATGGTGACACATAAATGGTGCACACACCTAATATCATGAAGTTGTCTTGTCCACACTGCACATGTTTTCCTGTTTCTGGTTCCCACTGCCCTCCACAGCTAGGTGACTACTTGTGAGTAGAGCGTTTGACTTAAATTACAAGCACTGAAAGGTTAAAGCTGCACAACCAAAATAACGCCCCAGTACAGCAGTGGCTGCAGTACAAGTTTTCATTAGGTGAGATTTCATGTAAGAACCTTGGAGAGAGACATCTGTGATTAATAGTTTCCGTCACAAACACCACTATGGTGAGCCATTCGTGTCAAGGATTATATGGATTATACTGTCTGTGTCCACAAGTGTACGAGGGTCTATTTAATCTGAGTGGTGTTGATTTTCTTATCAGATGTGATTGTGATGCTCTGTATGGACATTCCAGGCAGACTGCAAGCAGAGTTGGAGGGTGGGGTCCACAGCAGCCCACGTGCATGTCCATAAACAAGCATAATCCTGGCTCAGTATAACAGTTTCCAGCTGCGTGCACTTTGATGACAGGCCAGACATCAGCAATTTTTTTTATTTTTTATTTTTTGTTTAAGATCCTGTTCAGCAGACAACATTGGTTGCATCACTTAAAGCAGAGTAAAAAATGTTCAGCTTCACTCCTGTAGTTACAGGTTAGACTGTCATTTACCTGCAGCTGAGACATTGGTTCCCCTGCACATTAAGAAATTTGACTTGTACCTATAGAGATGACATCTGTTGTATTGTTACTGAATCTCATTTCTCACTGTGTCTCACTGTGCTGTGCTCTCAGCTCTACCAGCAGGGTCGACTCTGCCAGCTGGGGGGAGAGTTCTGTGAGCTGGAGGTGTTTGCTAAAGTGCTGCGGGCTTCAGACAAAAGGTAAGAACATAATGGGGCCAAACTGTGCCCATCACTCTCCTAAAGTAGTTTTCACACTTCCACTGCAGTCCTGAGCAGGTTCAGCAGAGTCTGAGATTAACCATAAACTGCAAGTTGATTACCTTTGAGATCAGTTAACTCCGAGTACGTTCACCTTGAGTTTAGTGTGTGCGAGTAGGGAAAGAAAGCCACCTTCAATGGAGCTTTGATAGCACAATTCACCATGGCAACACGTTAAATGAAAAGCAGAACTTCTATCTTAATCCAGTAAAACGAGGAATATTAATATTCCTAACCTTTGGAGACCCTTTGGCTACTAAACATAGAGGAAGTATACAAGTATATGTCACTGTACACTGGGATGCTAAACTTTAAATTTAGGAGGGTAGAAAAGAGTCATTTTAATGAGCTCTGGCCACTTTGTCATCAGTAAAGATGGTATTTGGAGTTTGGTGAATGCCGGTTTTTTCATCATTCACCAAACTTGCATTTTCATTTGTTCATACTGGAATCCTCTTTTTTTTTTTCTTCTTCTTTTTTTTCCAACAGTGGATGGAACCAGTTTTTACACTGGAACCAAGCATAGGTTTAGTCGGGTGCCCTTAATGATGTTAAACATGTTTTTAGGTAACCAGAGAAATCAGTTTTTAGCTCTTTTGAAACTCTTGTCCACTCTGTTAAATGTAGTGTTAGGCAGGCTGATAGGTGTGAAACACTAATGATGCTGGAACAGAGAGGAAGGAAGCAATGTCCATCAACCAAAACTCTAATATTGTGATTGCTTCCATCATATAATTTCTAACTAGAGAATTTAAGGTCTTGTTTGTAGATCTTTGAAAACACATTTGGCACCTATCATCGTAGACATCGTTTCATGTGAATCTTCTTTAGACTGAGGAATGCTCATATATGGAAATGAGATCCCTTCTGTATGACGAGGACATCAACTGCGTACACTGACCTGTTGTTCATTTCTTGACGGTCCCTTGTGTGATATTCTTACTGCTAGTTAACTGTGCCAGGTGTTCTGTACAGTAGGGATGGTGCCATGCTGTCTACGGCCATGACTGATAAGAATCTGTTTACGCTAAAAGCTGCTTGTGGACTGGATTTTTTTATTTTTTGTGTTTCCTGCAATTTGACTGTTGACCCGATGTCTCCCTTTGACTTCATCACTGCAGACACCTCCTGCACCACTGTTTCCAGGCCCTTATGGACCACGGTGTGAAAGTGGCCTCAGTTCTGGCAAACTCCTTCAGCCGCCGCTGCTCCTACATCGCCGAGTCTGACGCCCACGTCAAAGAGAAGGCCATCCAGTTTGGCTTTGTGCTGGGTAAATGTCAGGGCTGGGCAGTGGAGGCTTCAGATAAGCACTGTGTGGGATAGAAGTGCAGAGCTGTCCTTATGTTAGGTGGTTGATAACGTACAATATAAACAGCATATAATGTGGGCCATATTAGGGCTGTGCGATATGACCAAAATCTCATATCCCGATATAAGACCTCTATCGTCCCGATAACGATATAAATCACAAAAATGTAACATTTTCTGTAAAGTCTGTGAATCTCGGGCAGGTGAAGTGTTTCCAGCTGCGCGTCATGTAGCTGGAGTCGAGTGTTTTAACCGATGCATGAAACGATACATTTTTAGACATAAGTTGTAACGGCGCCGTTTTCTTTGTGAGTATTTATTACACGGCGTGCTGCGGGGAAAAGCCTGTTCTAACGTTTGAGTCTAAGGTTTATTTTTTAGCACCGGACGGCTCTTTTTTACTTTTCATCTGTAAATAATCTGCATCTTTCACGTGATTCAGTTTATTTTGAAAAGTCTCAACAGGATCTTGAGCTTTATTGTGAAAGGTTTATGTGGAACATAAACAATCAAACACGCGATGGTGTTACCGTCGTTGTTGCTAACGACAACACATACAAACAGGCGCTTGTCCGTCCGTAGTGTGGTGATATTAAATATAAGAGAAAGAGAGAACTTTAAGAAATTAATATAGCCACTACAGTGACCATCAGAACATGAACAAATATTACCGTAAACAGTTTATTTTGTGACACCACGAAACAAACGAGAGGGTAAAATGAAACGATAGACGTTTTTATATAGTCATCAGATACATATCGTTATATTGAACAGCCCTAGGCCATATGTATTATGATAATACGTTATTATAATAATTGTCATGTAGGGCTGAACGATTATGGAAAATAATCTAATTGCGATTTTTTTGCCCCAATATTGCGATTGCGATGCGATATGCGATTATTTTTTTAAGGTCTTTGTCTTCTGTATTATTAAACAAAGACAAGCAATACATCATATAGTATGGCCAATACTATATTACATTAATTTTAAACTGTTCTTTCCTGGAAGACAGACCTCTGTTATGATGACATGAGGTGATGCATGAATTGATGACTGACATTTTTATTTAACTTCTTCAATCACAACAGTATATTTGAACATACACAATAGTTTATTTTTAGCTTACAAACATCTGAGCATAAAGTGCTGACAAGGAACCCTGGTGTAAACATTAAAATGAAAGTCAGTACAATGTGCAGATTGCAGAAATATACATAAACAAAATCAGTGGCTTTACCACACTCAGTTTTTCGACATCTGTGAACTACTAGACAGTCATTCAATTAAAAAATAATATTAAATAAATAAAACTAATAAATAAAAAATACACACATCTTACTGATCTCTGCAGTCAGTAACATTACACATAAAGTGCAAACATAATAGCAATTGTATAAACACACACACAAACACGCCTTTAAAATTTAAAGGCGTGAAATTGGACGGTCTAGTTCTGATTAGCGTCACCGCTGTCTCGGTGGAGTTTAATAAACTCGGCCGTCTGCTTCTTGCTATCTAAAATATAACCAGACACTGGTGTAAATTCTCGACTGTCTCATACTTCTGTTTAATAAGTTTTCTGTTTGACGTTTAGTCAGCTGTGTGAAAACCAAGGAGGAACCCACCCGGGGGATTAATAAAGTTTTATTTTATCTAATCTAATAACTTTAATCTCAGCCAAACCGATTTACTCACGAACAAACAAAACACTGAAAAAAGCCCAACAATAACATTTTTAGGTTGTCTAAGTGACTTATATATCACGTTTAACCCGAGCAGCGAAACTCCGCGGTGATCTGAAAATGATGTGCCGGGAGTTGTGCCGTTCTCGGCCGCATCAGTAACCCTCGAGCTCCCGGCTAGCTGTCGAGCTGGTGGGTAGCAGACGCCTCTGAAAACGTCGAAGCACTTTTGCAAATATGGGATATCTTGATAAACCGAGCAGATATTTGATGTTTACACAGCTACTTTCTCGCCTGAAAATATGTTAAAAGTTTATTTTGTGATCCAGAAAGATTAGTACGAGTAATTTTAAAACTTAGTAGCAGCCGCCATTGCTGGAAACTGGAGTTTGGCTGGGCCGCGCTATGAATTCTGGGATATGGTAGTAATTTGGACAGCCGCGCGTCGCTGTGACGTAATCGGTCCACAAATGCGGCCTCAGGAGGATGCAGCCCATGAATTTGGACATGTCCAGAGTATAATCGCAGCCTTTGCGGTTAGAAAATTGCACTTGATCATGTCGCGATATTATCGCAAATGCGATATATCGTTCAGCCCTATTGTCATGTCATTGAGAGAATTTAATATTTGAGCAGAGTTCTAGCTCCCATAGATCTCTGAAACATTAGTCAGTGAATTCCAGATACTCCCCATCTTAACTCATTATGTGTATAAAGCACACCTGTCTGCAGAATCAGTTTCTTTCCAGTTTCTCCACCAAAGAACAAAAGTCTTCCCACATGACATTAACCCAAAACATACCAACAAGGTAACAAAGGAGAGGATAAGAAGAAGCTTGGCATTCCTATATGAAATTTGTGGAGTGAGCCGAAGCCTCAAGTTGCTAAGCAACAGCCAGGTTTTAGAGTTTCTGTAAAGAGCAATGGGCCAAAATCCCTACAAGAAACATCTTACTGCTGTGCTTCCCAACAAGGGTTTCTCCACCAAAATACTAAATATTTATTTCACTTAGAAACTGATTTGCATGTCATTAACTTTTACATAATGTGTGTTTCTGGATTTTGGGTTGATATTCTCTGTGCCTTAAAACTTTAGAGCAGGGGTGTCAAACTCAAATACAGAGTGGGCCAAAATTCAAAATGGAACAAAGTTGCAGGCTAACATTAATATTTATTGAAAAAAAAATCTTCCTCCAGATGTAAGAATGAATCTTTTCTTATGGACTCAAATAGGTTTTGCTGGAAAACTGAATATGGAACAAGCAAAGTATTAGTATTATACAGCTAATATATATATTAGCTGTATAATACCAGTAGGCCAGCTCTAATAATAATTTGGTATGGCTTCGCAGGCCAAATGTAATTAGGCTGCGGGCCAAATTTGGCCCACGGGCCAGAGTTTGACACCTATGCTCTAGAGATTTCTTTCTAAGTGACCAAACTTCCAGTCAAAGTTTGGTTTTCTTAAGACCCTTGTGCTATGACCAGCAGACACCATAGTTGTTAGGCAGATGACTGTCATGTTTCTGTTTGTAGGTGGCTTCTTGTCTGATGCGGGCTGGTATGGAGATGCAGAGAAAGTGTTTCTGTCGTGCCTGCAGCTGTGCACGCTCCACAGTGAGGTCCTCCACTGCTACCGGGCTGTGGAATGCTGTGTCAGGTCAGTGTCAAAGAGCTGCTTTTATTCACCAGGGAACTCTGTGTCCTATAGTTACAACACCATAATTGTTAGATGTGCCAGATATGATGTTACACAACATGTGTTTTCTCCCAGAACACTTAGGCGTCTGACAGCACAGCTTGAAATGTTAGTTGTGAATAAAAGCCACTGAGTGATTCATATGAAGAGCTGTTAAACAGTCTGTCTTTACATTTTTTTGATTCTTATCAGATGAAAACGGATAAAACACAGAAACTGTATCTCATCACAGACGGTTAAGCTTTCCTTCTGAGTGGAAGTAGCAGCTATCTGTCATGGAGTAACAACACTGTAACTGTTATAAACTAAAACAGCAACATTGTTAGAAATACCATGGGCCCATATTTAAGGCCTTGTATATAAATGAATCCTAGCAAATGGTATTAATGAATAAACTGAACACTGTAGAGCTAAGAAAAAGCTGCAAAAATGTTTGATCCAGATGTTTCTGTAGCATATTTGGTCCTGACGGGTGTGTTGACCGGGCACAAACATGTAAGCTGTGGTACAGTTTTATATGAGCTCTGCTGTCTCTGTAGTGTGTAACCGAGTGGGTGTGATGGGTTGTCCGTGATGGAGAGCAGTTTGTTCAGTGACCGCCTGTCCCTTGCTGCCCAATGACGATTCCAGATTAGTTTGTTGATCCTGCTACATGTCTACCAGCATCCCGAGAAACTAGAGACTGTTCATCCGCCTGTTGTACACAGCATCACTGTTGGGTTCTCCAGTTTAGTGTCCAGTCATTTAAGTGAACTATGGAAGTCAGCAACCATCTCTTTGTCCTGGGGACGTTCAGGAAGGGGAGATTTTTGTTGGACCATCCCACAAAACGTCTCACCAGTACCTGTACTCTGACTCCTGCCCACCCAACCACTGCAGTGTCGTTAGAGAGCATCTGCATGTGGCTCGATTCCCTGTTACACTGGAAATCTATAGTGTAGAAAATCAACAGGACTGTCCTGTGTGGTGCCCCAGTAGCACTAACACCACATTAAAGATGGGCTTCACCATCCATACAAACTGAGGAATCCAGGAGACGGTAGCAGTGGTGACAGCCAGCCTGAGCTTCTCTCATACATGCACACACACATGTTGCAAATTGCGGAAAACTGAATCCAGTTATTTTCAGGGAAACCAGTGCAGCAGTTTCCTTCCACAGCTTTTGTTGTTTTTAAATTGACAGTTATGCAGTAATACAGCAGATAAGACTGAGACTGAAGCGTCCCTGTCTTCTCTCTTCAGGCTGCTTCATGTCCGTAATGGAAACTGCAAGTACCACCTTGGGGAGGAGACCTTCAAGCTTGCTCAGTCTTACATGGACAAACTAGCCAAACATGGCCACCAGGCCAACAAGGCAGCGCTGTACGGCGAGCTCTGTGCCTTGCTCTTTGCCAAAAGCCACTATGACGAGGTGTGTAGGTTTGACCACTGAGGTGCTTTACAGTTTTGATACTGAGACAACTGAAAGTCCTTTCTGTCTGCAATGACCTTGTCTCTCAGGCGTACAGGTGGTGTATAGAGGCTATGAAGGAAATTACTCCAGGGCTGCCTGTCAAAGTAGTGGTTGATGTCCTTCGCCAGGCCTCCAAGGTAACACTCACACATGTATTTATCGCTCAGATCAGTCTTTGTCTGAATTTTTACACTAGTCTTCCAGACACATGTGTAAACTGTGGATTGTCTCTTCCCTGCAGGCCTGCGTGGTGAAAAGAGAGTTCAGAAAAGCAGAGCAGCTGATCAAACATGCAGTGTTTCTAGCAAGGTAACCCGCTGGGTGTAATGAAGACTCGACAGGGTACTTTCTAACATCGCAGTTTCTGACTGAAAATATTGTCTTACAGAGAACATTTTGGACACAAGCATCCCAAGTACTCCGACACGCTGCTAGATTATGGATTTTACTTATTAAATGTGGACAACATATGCCAATCGGTTGCTATTTACCAGGTACGTAGAGCGATGTGCTACAGGAGTATGCTCTTGTTTTCAGTGATGTTATTTAATTCAATCTTGTCTGATGTACAAATCCCGGACAGCGCTGGATATCCGACAATCGGTCTTTGGGGGGAAGAACATCCATGTTGCCACAGCCCATGAAGACCTAGCCTACTCCTCATATGTGCACCAGTACAGCTCTGGGAAATTTGACAATGCTCTGTGAGTGCATCTTCTAAACTCGGCTAATTACATTCCTCATGAGCTGCCTTGTAAATGTAGTCCAACACCCAAAGTCAGACTCTGGTATTTGGGTAATGTGTATGCAGCTGCACATATCAAATGTTTAACTGTACACACGGGCAGACGTAAAGATGACTGGAGATGCCTGTTGTTTGTGTAATTAATCATGTGATGCTCCTCGTGTATACAAAGGCTGTGATTCAGCATTGCCTAATGGTGAGACCTTTGATCCACTTTTGGACCGTATGAGCTGCAAAACAACTTTGTTCAATGGAAACACTTGATATTCTTGGAAGTGTTTGTCCCCAATATGTAGAGTTTCCAGCCAAGTCTGAGTTACACGACTGAGTGCTGTGTTTGTCCCTCAGATTCCATGCAGAACGTGCCATAGACATCATAACTCACATTCTGCCTGAGGACCATCTTCTGCTGGCCTCCTCTAAGAGAGTCAAAGGTAAGGCAGGCAAAGTGGAGAGTAGTATTATGCTCGTGTGTGTGACTGGCTGCTTGTAATAAAGTACCTTGAAAGAACAATTTAAAACTGGTTCTTTGCTAAGTTGTCTATTCGTAGGTCAAACTTTTGTGGTTTGACAGATTAAAAAAACATTCAGCAAGTGAGTGAAAAAGCAGCCGATGTCCAAACAAACAGTTTGAAAGAGCTTCAGGACGCCTGGAGAATTATTGATTAAGACCAGTTTACATGGAGTCTGAATCCTTTAAAACATAAGAAGTTAGGGATAGCTCAAGACTTTTGCACAGTGCTGTATCTGTTTGAAGCTGTGCATTATGTCTTATAGACTCTATCCGCGTTTGCTTGTTTTTCCCCAACAGCCCTGATTCTGGAAGAAATTGCCATCGACTGTCACAATAAAGAGACAGAAGAGCGCCTCCTGCAGGAGGCTCACGACCTGCACCTCTCCTCGCTGCAGCTGGCCAAGAAGGCTTTCGGAGAGTTCAACGTACAGACAGCCAAACACTATGGCAACCTCGGACGACTCTACCAGTCCATGAGGAAGTTTAAGGTGAGGAGGACATGTGTGGTTTGTAATATTTGACACAATAATTAAAATTAAGGGGCATAAACCATCCCAGCGTGTGCCAGTTGTGCTGCCTTGTGATAAAAATAATCTCAGTGTAAGAAAAGGTCAACGGCAGAGAACAGCTATTCCACATTCACCTCATCTTGATTAAGAGATGAGTGTTTGTGTGAGAGTGAGTCACATTGTGCTTTTACAAGCACAAACCACTGTTTGTGGGAGACTGAATGGTTTTTGCTATTTAAAGCCAGAAATGATGAGATGTGAAATATTGTCATTGCAGTTGGCTGGGATTACACAAATATCAGAGTGGTGCACATTTATAAAGAGTGTGCACCAGTCTTAGATGCTGTCTTTGGCCTATAAAAAGCCAGAGTGGAGGTTAAAAGTAATCCTGCAGAAGTTCTAGTCTGCAGCTGAAATGACTTTGGGCAAGTATCTAATATCCTGCTGTTAATGAGAGACTGACTTGGGACTACACGTTATTCCTTTTAGTCCATTGGAAATGGACTGGAAAACAATTTAAGTGTGAAAGGCCATAGCTTGCTTTCAGAGTGTAATGTGACAACTTTACTTTGACCCAGTTACAACACTTACAGGCACTGAACCACTTTTTGTTTTCAGTGGAAACGTAGCTGGATGTTTGATTTATGGGAAAGGCCATGGAAACCAAATAAATATTGCCTTTGAGTTTTGTCTTTGTTTGTGATTCATATCTCTTTGTCTTGCACACGTATTTGTGTAACCAGGAGGCAGAGGAGATGCACATCAAAGCCATCCAGATTAAGGAGCAGCTACTGGGCCACGAAGACTATGAGGTGGCTCTGTCTGTGGGTCACCTGGCCTCCCTCTACAACTATGACATGAACCAGTACGAGGATGCAGAGAGGCTCTATCTGCGCTCCATCGCTATCGGTCAGTAAGAGCAGAACAAGTTCACGTCCATGTTTTTTAGTGTCACAGTAAATGAGGCCCAAGGCCTGGGTCCTGATGTTGCTTCGTCACAGAACATGTTGTACTGAGATGCATCATACTCAACCTACTTCTCAGTTAATTGCCAAGTTTTGCTGTTATTGTTATGTAATCATTTATGTAGAGCTGACATTAATCAGTCCAACACCTGACGTTACTTCGCTACAATGGAAGAGGGTAACATTATCAAAAACGGGGCTCGAGTCAGAGAGACTGAATGAAACATGGTCTGTGATGTTTCTGTCTTCACAGGTAAAAAGCTGTTTGGCGAGGGTTACAGTGGGCTGGAGTACGACTACCGAGGCCTGATCAAACTCTACAACTCAGTGGGAAACTACGAGAAGGTGTTTGAATACCACAACGTACTGTCCAACTGGAACCGGCTGAGGGACCGGCAGTTTGCAGTGGCGGATGCCCTGGAGGACGTCAACACTACACCCCAGCAGACCCAGGAGGTGGTACAAGCTTTCCTATTGGCCCAGAGCCTAGGCCCCACCCGCCCCTGTCTCGGCTGATTGGTTGACCGAATGAGAAGGAGAAGAGAGGAGGGAAAAGAGACAAGTGGGTGGGTTTTAGCCTGGTGTGGACATGATTTGAGCCCAAAATGTGATGCTTCAGTTTCACACGGATTAGTAACACAGCAAATTCAAACATCACTGGCAGCTTGGTTGACTTTGTATGCTGCCAGTACACACACACAGACATACACACGTTTTCATGGAATAAAAAAAATAAATAGAGAAGACACTTATCAAACCTCATCAACACACTCTCACCATCAAGATGCAGTCACTGCGTTTCTCCAACAGAAAGAGGACACATGCCCGAGACTGGGGACTCGAAAAGAAACGTCAGACGTCCTATAAGGATGACGCACGACCTCCTCGCCTCTCATCTCACTCGCCTTTTTCTTCCTGGACAGCAGTTTTGCTTTTGTACCGTACCAGTGTAGCTCAGATCTCCGGGAGCGAACCCGTGTTCTCAAGAGCTGCACGACAGCATCTGTGGAATACCTGCACATCCATCAGCATCACTTGGCAGATCACAGCTGGAAATAGTTGGATATTTTTGACACTTGTACAGTTAAAGAAAATACAGATTGTACTCTTGAGTTTTATTTGAAGGCTTTTTGTTGTTGTTTTTTTCTTTGCAATTAACTGAACGCGAACCCTCAAAGTTGCGTGGAGGAGAATGTGATAACACCAGGTGTGGTTTTTACACACAACAGGTTTTCACAGGTCTTTTTTTCCAGCTTAGTACTGACATAGTATCATTAAAATGCCAATAATTTATATGCAAACATATGTTTATGTAGCCCTTTGTTTAAGTTTTCTTACTGAATGAGAAATGGCTCAACACTATGATAACAAGGGACACGGATGGGAGGGCAAAGAGGAAGCTGCTACATGTGCAAAGGCTCCGCAGCCTCGCTTTGTTCATCTTGAGGCTGTATGTGTGAGTGAGTGAGTGGAACACAACTCTCGGTGCCCAAGTGCTCCACCGATGACTACCAGCCTTACACCAGCTTGCAGTTATCTGTCTGTAGACGGACCCATATTTTGAAGTGCTAAATAAACTATTATATCCTTAACGGCGCTACAGTGGGGACCAATATTGTGTGCTTGTGTGCGTGTTTGCATAGCAGCCTGATTATTGTGCATGTGGCCTCTCTGCTTCACACCCTCCTGTCAGAAAATCCCATTAAAGTTCCTGATATGTTTTTCTGTTACTGGCCCATCGTTCAGAGTCTCGCTGTCCAGAATCTCATCTGTTGCTTTATTTAAAAGCTCAGCTTCGGCTGGTTTTCAGTTTTACTCGACATCTTAGCTCTATAACAGGGGTGGGGGAACTCCAGGCCTCAAGGACTGGCGTCCTGCAGGTTTTACATGTGCTTGATCCAACACAGCTGGTTTAAATGGCTAAATTAAAAAGGTTTCCAGAGGCCTGACAATGAACTAATCATTGGATTCAGGTGTGTTGACCCAGGGTCATATCTAAAGCCTGCAGGACACCAGCTCTACAGCTGCCATGTTGGTATTTTAAAGCTAACTTAGGCTCTCTAGTGGACAAAGTATGCAACGGCCATTACATACTTTGTGCCGAAAGGGCTTTAAAGGAACATGTTCTTATTTTTAGACTGTAATATTGTATCTTTTCATTATTCTCAGTTCTAAATAATCCTTATTGACCTTATCCTGAGCCTTGGGGCAGCCACTCAAGTCAGTGTCTATCTGAAAACAGCTCTTTTAGTGCCTCTGTCTCTCTTAAAGCCAGCTCTCTTCTGCCTGTCACACACAAATAGTTTGAACAGCAGGTGTGTAGCCAGAGCTGTGTGCGTGACTTAACCATGTTAATGGGTTTGGCTCACTGACATGAGAAAACAGAACATTTGAACACCTAGTTGGTCCATTTGAAACCTGTTTGGATTTTGTTCTGTATATTTGGAGTAAGCTACAGTGCTGCGACAAAGTATTTGCCTCCTGATTTCTTCATTTCATGCATGTTTGTCACACTGCAGTGATTAAGATCATCAGACAACATTTAAAATGAGATAACATACGTTTTTAATTGATTTGTGATTTTTGGTGAGGGACAAAAGAACCTACCTGGCCCTGTTTGAAAAAGGAAAAAAACAAAAACAGCTTTTCATAAAAAGAACATCACAGTAAGAGCATGTGGAGGGAGTGGGAGTGGAAGTGGGCTGCTTGGATGATTAAGGATCTGGATGGAAAAAGGAATTCTGCTCTCGACGTACAGCTCGAGCGTGCTCGGGTTACGCAGCAGAACAACACAATCCCAAATATACCAGCAAGTCCATGACCTTAACAGGTTGTTCATGGCCAACACCCCACCAGTGCTCCTCCGTACTCGACCAGTTTTTAGACTTTAGGCCAGGTAGGTTTGGATAACTTTTTACCCTTAATCCTAATTTTCAGCTTATTCTGGTTATGTCTGTGTAACATTAACAGTTGTATGATGACCTGAAAGTGAGACAAAAATGCAAAAAACAATGTGTATATCAAGAACGGGGCAAGCTCTTGTTCACAGCACTGTTTATGTACCTGTGATCCTGTAAAGCCTTCCACTGCAGATGCTTTCAGTCTAATATTTAGTCCACAGTTTGGGAATCACCAGCTTCTCTGGATGGGATTTTTTCGTTAGTGCAATTCTAACATTACACATGGACCCTTGTTTCACTAAAGCAGTCTGTCAATATAAGAGGTGAAGGAGAAATGAGCGCTTAAAGAGACGCTGCGTAACAGTGGCGTGAAGAAAGGCATGGACGCATGCTGTAGCAGATGAAGGATGAGATTTTGCACAGTCGAGGCTGAACACAGGCTGTGGAGATTCTGTGCAACGTTACTGAGAATGTGATGCCATGGATGAATAGTCCGCTGTTAATTTAGTATTTAGTTTGTTTTGAAAAGAACGAATGAAGAAAACGAGCTTTGCCTTGCTGTTGCTTCAGTGCTGTCAATGTCTCCCTCTGTAACAGTGATGTGAGGGGCTGTAGCTGAGGAGGAGGTCCAGCTCTCAGCTAAACACTCAGTGCTTTGGCTTAAATAGACCCCCCACCCCTCCACCTCTGAGTAGATTTCTTATCTACAGACTTTACTTGTAAACAGGTGCATACAAAGAGAAGGATCATGAATATTTCTTTGTCTTAAAAAGTGAATCATGGAGAAACTTTGCATGATTTGACGTGTGTGCTGTGAGGGCTACGTCTGCATCTTCTCCAGAGGATTACAAAACAGGTCTCGGCAGCAGTTTCTAATCCAGCTTCGGCTGAGGTGCAAGTTCCTTTTTCCTGCTTGGCCAAGATGATCTGCTGATGTCTGAAAGGGAATAGTGTAGTTCAAGTGGTGGTGTCGGGGGTGGGGGGCGCAGGACAAAGTTCAAATTGAAGCTGCGATGTCTCCAACAGCCCGCTTCTCTCTTCAGAGTTCAAAGGAGACGTGTGGGATGTGTTCACTGTTGTCCTGTTACTGCTTCACTGTTAGCTTCAAAAACATTAAAACATCGTTGACCATCACAGTTTCCCTCTTTGCTGTCCGTCAGCTGTACACATCTGGACTTCACCATCCCAGCAAACAACAGGACACTTTTACACTGATGAGATGAAATATTCAGTTTATTTGATTTCAGTCCTTCAAGTTTTCTTCCTTTAAATCTGGCTTTAAGTATAGGTGAGTTATAGTGCATAATACAGCGAGTGGAAAGGAACTTCAGACTTTACTTGGAAATTGCCATTTTTGGCAATTGCCACTACATTTCACTGTGAAACTTTTACTCCTTTTATAGACTAGCCTTACAGCTTCCATCACTGACATTTTACACACAAGACAGATTTTAAAGGGTTAGGATTGCTGCTATACAAATCATAATCTTTTTTTTTACATATATTTGATCGTGCTGGAATTAAAAGTACACCCTGCAGAGCACATAAAAGAGGCAAACGAGGTAAAGTGTGCATAGTAGCAGGCACAGGCGGACGATCTTCCTGCGAGCATGCAGAGGTGGGATGCCCAGGATTTGTAAAGTGTTCACTCTGCAAAGTGCTTCTATTGCCGGGCATAAATGAGGGTCGTTAGATCAGGTAGCGAGGCAGCAGAGAAAGCCACAAGGTGTCTTTGGATCAAGAAGGCAGATCTGTTGACGACTGCGGCTGTGAGTCTGATTAATCCAGGTGAGAGAGGGTGTCTGATGTTGAGAGGTTTAAAACCTGTGATGACCTCATGTTACATCACTGATGATGCATCCCAGCACACTAGTCTGTCATGCAGACCTCAACCAGGCACCGCTCATCACCCGAACACCACCATCACTACAGCGAAGCACGGTGGGGGCAGGATTACACTGTAGGGATGTTCCCTCTAATTTTTCATGTGTCTGAGCGAACACACAAACTCCCTGAGTGGTCTCTTGGACCACTGTGAGCAACAGCAGACGTGTGCACTGTGGTCACGCCAGCATCGAATCCACCCAGGTTACATGGTTTATTAAAGTAATCAAATTACAGCATTTATGTTAGACTACTTTTAATTAACTGCTTTAGCCCACTTACAATGATTTTTTTTTTTTTAAGAAATCTTGTTCATGACCTGTGCAGCATGTTAAAACTATTGGAAGTAAAAATAACTTAAACTCCAATTTTGAAAACACAACTTTCTAAAAAAGAAATTTATGAAGCTCTGACTCATATCATGAGTATGAGTCTGTGGTCTGGGAGAGAGTCTGTAACTCTGTCTGCAAAATACAGTAAATAATGACCAATGCTGGGCAGTTAATTATATAGTTACTTCTTCAAAAAGGTAACTGAGTTATGCAAACAACAACATTTTTTGCAGCTGTTTACCTAAAAATGCAGCCAAGGCGTTTTTTTTTAAATAAACATTTCAAGCTATTTACAGAACACAAATTATTTGTGCCACTGCAAAAAATAATTCCTGTCCACTATGAGATGAAGGAGAACAACAGCCTGATACCTGCAGGCCTGACAGCAGCAGACGTATCACTGCTGTAACACCTGTAACATTCAGCAGTCGCCTCATTGTTCTGACACACAACAAAACTATTGACTACACTACACACTAACTACACACTCACTACACACTAACTACACACTAACTACACACTAACTACACAAGATTTGCGCTAAACGTTGCAAATCTCTCACATCTCAAAAACACGCCGTCACTCCTGTTTTTACCGTTTCTTCCCACAGTAAATATAAACAACGACAGTATTCAGTAAAAAACAAAGAAACATTGCAGATATTTTTATCATAACTCTGGTTTTACGTGGCCGATCAACACAATTTAAAAACTGGTATAAAGTCCACACTTTTCCCTCAGTTGTTCCGTGGATGAGCCGAGGTCTCCCCTCTCGCCGCCGCCTCTGAACACACAAATACAAATTGCATGTGAAGCAGGAGGTGCAGATTTTTTTGCTATTGTTTTCTAAATCCAGGCTTGATCACGTGGAGGTATTTGGAAAACTTTTTTTGGCCAGCGGACGACTGTTGTCTCGCAGAAAGTCAAATCAAATGTATGCAATACACAATCAATTCACAAGAACACATTTAAACAGAAGGTGCCTGATTTCAACTAAACTAAATCATCGTCACGTTTGGTTTTTTTCTTCTTTCTTGTTTTTTTTTATTTTTAAATTAAGCATCTTCTAATGAGAGTGCAAAAACAGTAAAGAAAGAAAAAAAGAGACCTCTTTCCTCTCGATGGAAAAATGCACCATGTCGACCAATTTTTTAAAAAAAGTCAGCATCTGGGATTTGGTTGTTTAGGAAGAGGGGAAAGCAAGACAGCGAGAGAGAGACAGAGATCGATAGTCGGTTTTGAGATGTGGGAGATTTGTGACGTTTAGCGTGGAGTGTATAGTTAGTGTGTTGTGTAGTCATAGTTTTGCTTTGTGTGTCAGTGAGGCCACTAATGACTGTCACAAAGGCACATTGCAATGTAAACACTGTCACCAGGTGAAAACAGGAGCAGTGCTACACCTGTTGTCCTCTTGTGGTGGACATTTTTTTTACTGGCACAAGTAGTTTGTGGGGCATCTTATTGTGACACCTGATTGTTCTTTCATTTTAGTTATAGTAGTATTTTTAAATGGTTGTACCAAATTTTAAAAATGCCAGATGTATTGGTTGCATTTTCAGATAAATAGTTGTATATGTTTATAAAATGTGTGCACAACTTTTAAAAATGTACAATTTATATTTGCATTTCAAGTTATAAAAATAATTTACTCAACATGTCTGTGGTTTTGACAGTAAAAAAACCTAACTACTAGGATTTTATGGGTTTTTTTTGTGTGATTTCAGATCAGTTGTGTTAATACAGTAAGTCAGTGAAAAAACCAACTAAATTCAGACACATGAGGTTGAGCTGAAAAGAATGATACCAAACAAGGCAGGAAGAAAATAAAAATGAAACAATCTGAGGGTGAAATACAAATGTAAAATCAACAGGAGTCAAAAATGTCCAGTTATATTTTGGACCTCAGAGGGTCAGCCTAACAAATCATGAAAAGTTAGGTTTGGATTTTTGTTCACGACGGTGCAGATTTCTGACATTTTGTGTAATTTAAGCACGTAACAATTTGTGTGAAACTGAAGTTAGCACTTGGACTTAACGCTACAAGCGCCACTTCAACGACCACATGGGATCTGTACAAGACACAAACTGAAAGCATTGGGGGATATATTACACCACAGGTGCCGTATTTGTGGGGGTAGTTACAGAGGTTGTAATTTTTGCAACGAGACTTTGGCTTTAACCGAAGATGGGGCTCCAAGTTCTGCTTTACTTAACGAAAAGGCGCTCTGTCACCCAAGAAACACGCAGGCGCAGAGAGAGAGAGAGCGCGTCGCCCTGTAACCATGGCAACCGTAACGCTGCCGCCTGGAACAACAGCACGTAGCTGTCAAACAAAACCAAACAGTCCTGACCCGCGACAACATGAAACAGGAAAGTACCGCAGTGTAATCCATTTATTTCAACAAAGTAACTGTATCCTGAATACCACCTTTTTAAACGGTAACTGTAACGGAATACAGTTACTCATATTTTGTATTTTAAATACGTAACGGCGGCACATGTATTCCGTTACTCCCCAACACTGTGTGTGTCCCATATAATACAGTGGTTCTCGAAATGTTTAGGCTTCCTTCACCCCCAGCACATCACATAACCATAGGGCAAGAATCCAAATTGAATATAGCCTGAATATAGCGCCACTATATACTTTTTTGCTGCATAAACCATCTTCTTTCAGCTTTGGTAAGGTGCTCACTGATGTCCAACTGAACCCCTCTCCCTCCAACTGGTATAATTTTATATCCATAGCTGATCATTTTTAATTAAAGAATGTATCACACCAGAATTGGACACGAGAAGTGTGGACAATGCTGCCTTGTCTGGCAAGTCTTGATTTCAGCAGGACATTTGAACGGCAGGATCAGAATTTAATGTGAACAACATAAATGCATGGATTAATCCTGCCTGTTGGTAGAGGAAAGTTTGGTGAAGCACGACAGAAGATTTTGTTCCTGATGAAGGAAAACAAGACAAAGAGTGCTGAATTAAAAGAACCGTCTGCCCAGCTTCAACGCGCGAATGCTACTATTAGGGAGATGCAAAGGGATCTCCAAAACATGGAGCAAAAGAATCAGGCTGTCACGGTTGTTAAAGAGTGGACTCAGGCGCGGAGCTCAGAAATAATGACAGTGCATTTATTTACAGTGCAGCAAGGTGACAACAGTTCAAATGTGCAACAATGGTGATAGTGCGTCCCTCCTTCCGTGTAAGCCCGTGCGTGGTAGTGAGTGCCCGTCTCTCCTCCAAGTGCTTCCTTAGTGTCCGTGAATCCTCCGTCAATCCCAGGCTTAGTGCAATACTCCAGCGCTGTCTGTCGCTCAGCCACACCATTAAGTAGCCCTGCTGAAGATGGTAGTTGATTGGCAGCAGCTGGTGGATTGACCGCGGGTGCGGCAGCTCCGGGCGAAAGCACTTCCGGGTCGGTACATTGTAAATAGCTGTACTTTGTGTGAAGTTGTTTTAATAAAACAAAAAAGAATAGTATATTTGTTTGTTTTTCTTTATTATAGATCTATTCACATGTACACAGCAATCACATAAAAATGAAATGCAAACTATTTACATCGCACCACACAGCTGTCATCAATCTTTAACCACAACATGAAACATTACAGGCTATTTAGAGCAGCACGTTGTTTCCAGAAGTATTTCCCAACAAGTTCAGGAAGGCACACTTTACGAAAGAAGTCTTGTGCTTGCTTTAAGCGCGGTTTCCAGAAATCCACAGCAGGGAAGACGCGAGTCACAGCAAGGTCTCTGTGTCCATGTAACGGAGCGGAAAGGCTGATTTTATTTCCAAGATGTTTTGTGTTTTTAAAAGGAAGGAGACCTTCCTAAAAACGGGCAGAGCAGTGGAGCCGCCAAGGGAAACACACAATTTAAACTGTAAGATTAAAAATATAATTTATTATATTTAAAT